GAGGATAGGAGGCATACTCGTGTGGAGGATAGGAGACATACTCGTAGGGATAGGAGGCATACTCGTGTGGAGGATAGGAGACACACTCGTGAGGAGGATAGGATGCATACTCGTGTGGAGGATATGAACATACTCATGAGGATAGGAGGCATACTCGTGTGGAGGATAGGAGGCATACTCGTGTGGAAGATAGGAGGTATACTCGTGAGGAGGATAGGAGGCATACTCGTGTGGAGTATAGGAGACATACTCGTGAGGAGGATAGGAGGCATACTCGTGTGGAGGATAGGAGACATACTCGTGAGGAGGATAGGAGGCATACTCGTGAGGAGGATAGGAGGCATACTCGTGAGGAGGATAGGAGGTATACTTGTGTGGAGGATAGGAGGCATACTCGTGTGGAGGATAGGAGGCATACTCGTGTGGAGGATAGGAGGCATAATCGTGTGGAGGATATGAGGCAAACTCGTGTGGAGGTAGGAGGTATAGTCGTGAGTAGGATAGGAGGTATACTCGTGTGGAGGATATGAACATACTCGTGAGGATAGGAGGCATACTCGTGTGGAGGGTAAGAACATACTCGTGAGGATAGGAGGCATACTCGTGAGGAGGATAGGAGGCATACTCGTGAGGAAGATAGGAGGTATACTTGTGTGGAGGATAGGAGGCATACTCGTGTGGAGGATAGGAGGTATACTTGTGTGGAGGATAGGAGACATACTCGTGTGGAGGATAGGAGGTATACTAGTGTGGAGGATATGAACATACTCGTGAGGATAGGAGGCATTCTCGTGAGGAGGATAGGAGGCATACTCGTGAGGAGATAGAAGACATACTCGTGTGGAGGATAGGAGGTATACTAGTGTGGAGGATATGAACATACTCGTGAGGAGGATAGGAGACATACTCGTGTGGAGGATAGGAGGTATACAGGAGACGTACTCGTGAGGAGGATAGGAGGCATACTCGTGCGGAAGATAGGAGGTATACTTGTGTGGAGGATATGAACATACTCGTGAGGAGGATAGAAGACATACTCGTGTGGAGGATAGGAGGTATACTTGTGTGGAGGATAGGAGGTATACTTGTGTGGAGGATATGAACATACTCGTGAAGAGGATAGGAGACATACTCGTGAGGAGGATAGGAGGTATACTCATGTGGAGGATATGAACATACTCGTGAGGATAGGAGGCATACTCGTGTGGAGGATAGGAGGCTTACTCGTGTGGAGGGTAAGAACATACTCGTGAGGATAGGAGGCATACTCGTGTGGATGATAGGAGGCATACTCGTGTGGAGGATATGAACATACTCGTGAGGAGGATAGGAGGGATACTCATGTGGAGGATATGAACATACTCGTGAGGAGGGTAGGAGACATACTCGTGAGGAGGATAGGAGGTATCCTCATGTGGAGGATATGAACATACTCGTGAGGATGGGAGGCATACTCGTGTGGAGGATAGGAGGCATACTCCTGAGGGGGATAGGAGGCATACTCGTGTGGAGGATAGGAGGCTTACTCGTGTGGAGGGTAAGAACATACTCGTGAGGAGAGGAGGCATACTCGTGAGGAGGATAGGAGGCATCCTCGTGTGGAGGATAGGAGGCATACTCGTGAGGATGATAGGAGGCATACTCGTGTGGAGGATATGAACATACTCATGAGGATAGGAGGCATACTCGTGTGGAGGATATGAATATACTCGTGAGGAGGATAGGAGGTATACTCATGTGGAGGATATGAACCGACTCGTGAGGATAGGAGGCATACTCGTGTGGAGGAGAGGAGGCTTACTCGTGTGGAGGGTAAGAACATACTCGTGAGGGTAGGAGGGATACTCGTGTGGATGATAGGAGGCATACTCGTGTGGAGGATATGAATATACTCGTGAGGAGGATAGGAGGTATACTCATGTGGAGGATATGAACATGCTCGTGAGGATAGGAGGCATACTCGTGTGGAGGATATGAACATACTCGTAAGGAGGATAGGAGGTATACTCATGTGGAGGATAGGAGGCATACTCGTGTGGAGGATAGGGGGCATACTCGTGAGGAGGATAGGAGGCATACTCGTGAGGAGGAGGAGGCATACTCGTGTGGAGGATAGGAGGCTTACTCGTGTGGAGGGTAAGAACATACTCGTGAGGATAGGAGGCATACTCGCGTGGAGGATAGGAGGCTTACTCGTGTGGAGGGGAAGAACATACTCGTGAGGATAGGAGGCATACTCGTGTGGAGGAGAGGAGGCTTACTCGTGTGGAGGGTAAGAACATACTCGTGAGGAGAGGAGGCATACTCGTGTGGAGGATAGGAGGCTTACTCGTGTGGAGGGTAAGAACATACTCGTGAGGGTAGGAGGGATACTCGTGTGGATGATAGGAGGCATACTCGTGTGGAGGATATGAACATACATAGGAGGCATACTCGTGTGGAGGATAGGAGGAATACTTGTGTGGAGGATATGAACATACTCGTGAAGAGGATAGGAGACATACTCGTGAGGAGGATAGGAGGTATCCTCATGTGGAGGATATGAACATACTCGTGAGGAGGGTAGGAGACATACTCGTGAGGAGGATAGGAGGGATACTCATGTGGAGGATATGAACATACTCGTGAGGAGGATAGAAGACATACGGAGACATACTCGTGAGGAGGATAGGAGGTATCCTCATGTGGAGGATATGAACATACTCGTGAGGAAAGGAGGCATGCTCGTGAGGAGGATAGGAGGCATACTCGTGTCGAGGATAGTGGGCAGTCACGTGAGGAGGATAGGAGACATACGCGTGTGGAGGATAGGAGGCATACTCGTGAGGATGATAGGAGGCATACTCGTGTGGAGGATAGGAAACATACTCGTGAGGAAAATGAGATGAGCCGTTTCATGACAAAATCTTTGTGAGAATGAAAGGATATTTTTGAGAGTATTAGATCAGATTATTGTGAGCATATGGCGAACTAGTTTTACAGAATATGAGACAATACATTTATGTGGATAATTAGATGATTTAAATACTTAATAGGAATCTGAGACAATATTGTTTGTGAGCATCAGATAAGTTGTTTTTTTATGACTTATAAAATGTTGTTTGTTTGTTTGTGTTTTACGTCCTATTAAGGAGGCTCCCCCCTTTCGCAATTAGCCAGCAGAACTCAATAAAAGTTTCACATAATGGTTATGTCACTATGTAGAGATGATTTTATGAAAATCTAAGGATTCCAATAAACTGTGGATTTTTTTGTAAAAAATACCGAAAAATTGAATTTTTGTCAAATTCAACACTCCCACATTTTTTGAGCGTGTGGCATTGTTCAAAACTATTACAACAATAAAATAATGAAAAGAAACATTGCTAATCAACCCTACAAATATTTTATTTATCATAAAATATCTACATGTTACAAAAAGCGTTTTTTTATTGAAATTGTATGGATAAATGTTACTAAATACAAGCTAAAAGCAAACAGAACACATAGCTTCATACAAAAAGAGTGAAAAATTGAACCAAATACACACAAAGTCTTTATAATTCATTTATTTTACATTTTATAATAATTTTGATCCTGACGAGAGTTGGTCTACCTTGAAAAAAATCGGAACTTTTTGCAGAGGGATATAATTTATACAATGACACTTATTTTCTTTGCTATACCAAAAACGACTGAAATAAATTAAATTATTATATTTGATTGTCAATTTACTGTTCTTTTATGGAACAAAATTACTCTCAATCATGTACACGTTGGACATCATTCCATAGCCCGCTTACGCATGGTATATTAACCATTTCAGGTACATATGTAACCTTCTTCTTCTTCTTCTTCACAATCATGTGCATCATTCATAAGAATATTGTCGCACAGTTTGCGCATAGCGGGAGGTAAAAACTATCCACGATAGCCAATGTACAATTAAAACGAGTTAAAAACAGATCTATCATCTTCTGTCTAGTTGAGTGTGGATGTCAGCGGGGTCTTGCTGATGCTGTGGCGGAAGGCATCAGCAGATGGTGCTGTCACAGCTGACGATGGAAGTTGATTCCAAGTCTTCACTGCAGTTGGAAAGAATGAATGTTGGTACGTCTGTGTTCTTGATGTAGGTTGAACGTACCGGTTGTCGTGTCCTCTGGTCCTTGCTGTTGTTGATGCAGGCAGAAGGTATGAATCTGGGCGGATGTCGATAAGGCCGTGGGCGATTTTATACAGCATCACCTGCTGGATCTGAATTCTCCCCTCCTGCAGGGTGTGCCAGCCGAGTGTCTGCAGCATGGTTGTGACACTGCTGTATTTGCTGAAATCGCACATAACATACCTGGCTGCCTTCCGCTGGACCTGTTCTAACTTGCTGATGTTGGAATGAGTATGTGGACTCCAGATGACATATCCATACTCGATAATAGGGCGTACCAAGGTGGTGTAGCAGGCCGCCTTCACATCAGCTGGGTATTTCTTCAGTGTCCTCTGCACGAAAGCGTTGGTGGAAGTGGCTTTCTTGCTGGCAGCTTCGATGTGTTTGTTCCAAGAGAGGTTATTTTGGAGGTGGATTCCTAAATACTTGGCCGACGGGACTGTCTCTAAATCTTGACCATAGATGGAATAGGTCGTGACCAAGTGATTCCTCTTCCTGGTTATCCGGATGGTTTCACATTTCTCTGGGCTGAAGCTCATCTGCCATCTATCCTCCCATTCCTGTAGTCTGTCCAGATCTTGTTGTAGTTGTGCAGAGTCGTCAAGAGTGGAAATAACTCTGTACAACAAGCAGTCATCAGCGAACAAGCATGGAGTGGATGTTACACACAAGGGGAGATCATTGATGAAGACCAGGAATAGTCGAGGTCCGAGGACAGTTCATTGAGGGACTCCTGATGTTACTGGAGATGTTGATGACTGTTGGCCCTCAAGGATAACCTTCGGAGTACGGTTGGATAGGAAGCTTTCAATCCACTTGAGCGTGTTCCCTCGGATACCATAGTAGTGGAGCTTGCGCAGAAGTCTTTGGTGCGTGACCTTGTCGAAAGCCTTCGAGAAGTCGAGGAGGACTGCATCGATTTGATCACCTTTGTCGAGGCTCCTGGCAATGTCGTCTATGGTCAGGATCAGCTGGCTCTCGCAGGATCTCTTCTTCTTGAATCCGTGTTGGTAATCAGATAGGATGCTGTGTTGTTCTAGGTGGTCCATTAGACAGCTGTGGATGATGTGCTCCATCAGTTTACTGCATATGAAAGTCATGGACACCGGTCGAAAGTTGCCTGCCTTTGCCTTGTCCCCTTTCTTGAAGATGGGGGTGATATGAGCTTTCTTCCAGTCGTCGGGGACAGTTCCAGCATCTATGGAAGACTGAAACACTCTAGTGAGCATGGGAGAGATGGAATGGGCACACATCCTGAGGAGCCTTGCTGGGACTTCGTCTGGACCTGTTGCTTTGCTCCCTATGACATTAAGAAGAAGCTTTGTCACTCCCGTCTGATTGATGGTGATAGTTGGGGCATCCCTGATGTTGCTGGGGCCGAGTTCCGGAACAGTTGATAGGTCTTCCCTTGTGTTTGCAGAACAAAACTGCTGGTTGAGTATCTCAGCTTTCGCTCTCGGCTCACTCACAAGAAGTCCATCCTTCCTCAGTGGGGATACTCCAGAGGAGTCTGTTCGCTGACTCTTCACGTACGTCCACAGCTTTTTGCTCCTACCTGTATCACTGTCTAGGAGCTTGTTGACGTAGCTGCTGTGAGCTGCTCGGCACTCCTTTTGGGATGCGGACTTCAGTCTCTTGTAGCGTCCCAGTCCCTAGTATTTGCTGACGTCCTTGCTTTGTTGAATACGCGATGTTTGCGACGTGATAATTTCTTAACACTGCGCGTAATCCATGGTTGATTAAATCTCCCTGAAGTCATCTTAGATGGTCAAGCTCCATGAGTTGGTTGCAACACAGTTTAAAAGCGGTCCAGGTCTTGTTGACGCTATTGTTTGGAGAATAATCCTCAATGAAATCCATGGCAAGTCGATCGGCTGTGTCCTGGATGAGTGTTTCGTTAACTTTGGACCATAGGTAGATCTTGTGCTTGATGGGACGACGACACGGTGCTCGAATGTTGGATTTGGTCATCACAATGTGGTGGTCCCCTAAGCCTGGTATAGGCCTACCTAGGCTATCGCATGGTATGACGTTATTACGTGCACGCTCATACACATTTTATAGGATCTTGATATTTTACAAACCAGAGCGTAACTCGCTCGACAACAAAAGTCGCAGCGACCAAGAGCTTGTGAACTACTGTTAGCACGTGATACGTACAGGTGAGGTCGGTAAACAAAACACACCAGTCTGAATTCCATGCGCCTCATATACGACCTTCTTGAAATCGTCTGATCGTATGATGTCTTTGTAGCATAAGCTTTATTTCTGAAGTACGTGTGATTACACATTTCCAAGTTTAGTCTCGATATCGGGTGTTGACATATCATCGCCACGCACGTGTACTACTGTTTACCCGGTGTTACTAAAGTTATAATTTACACTACGGTAATGGAATGCCCGATACGCAATACGGAAATGACAACACAAAAAATACGACAAGAAAAACATGTGTATTACGAAGGGTGGAAAGTCCTTAACAGCTACGGTCATTTATGGACGTGCCAGGTTTCGGTCATTTATGGACGTGCCAGGTTTTGGTGGTGGAGGAAAGCCGGAGTTCCCGGAGAAAAACCACGACCTACGGCCAGTACCTGGCGACTGCGCATGCCCTACGCCTCATCTGCGACAATACATCAGAGGTGGTATGCAGATTATTGGAAAAAGTTCTAGAAGAGGCCTCGAACCCGCGACCTAGTGGTGGAGGGGTAGTGATTTATAAAATAAGGAATGAAACAATAAAATTACCAGAGTTCAAATTGTCATCACTCAGGATTGTTGGAAATCGCCATGAATATACATGTAGATAATACAGGTTATCTTCAGTGTTGGGATCTTTACCAATGCTGCGGAAGGGTCATTTCCGTGATTCAATAGGAATCTTAAAACGGAATCATTAAATATAAGGACTTCTACTGATAACATCAGTTATTAGTTCAACATTTATGTGAGAGTATACTGTTATAATTTTTAACAAAGGTGTTTGTGTACTGATAAAAATACAAATAATACTATTGGTGCAAGTTTTTGTATAAATGATTTCCAACATACTATAATAAACCTCCACATATTTCAGTTTGATTTTATATGGTGTTTTTCATTTTAGGAGTCCTGTAATATTATTCATGGTATAAATTTACTTCTTTCTCATCTCATTTGTCAAAATGTTATTTCAAGAATTACCATTCGGAAATAAAAGCCCTAGACATTTACAGCATATATATCCCGTGCAGAAGTTGAGATTCAATATATTTCACTCGAAGCGTTACTTTATGAAATGACAAAATATTCCATATAAACCAAATCGATCACCCTCGAATTCTACCCAATGTTGGGTCAGGGGATTTGAACCCAATTTCCCGGCCTAACAAGAACATCGACCAGAAATGAACCGTGATGAATTAAATGTCATCTTCCCTAAACTGTTTGTCTTCCTGAGTTACACGGGATTGGCATCCATTACTTCACAGCAAACAATACCAACTCCTTGGTCATTAATCAAAATATTTAGACTTGACAGCAGAAACTTTTAAAGATATTAAAAGTCTTCCCAGTAGGCCCTGTTGTTTACAGGGATCAGCGGAGTTGTCCGGATCATCTCCTACCGTGGAACACTTAGCGCCAGGGACACGGACTAGTCAGGAGTGAAATGGATCCCGACATCCGAGGATATCCCTCCAAAAATTGATCATTACAGACGTCAGTATCAACAACCTCTGACGGCAATATTTATTTACTGTTATGTTTCAATACATTTCATCCAATTACTCCCCTTGTCTGTGGCGAAGGTTTGACATATCCGAATTTAATTACGTATACAATTAGCAGTATTTGTATATGTTGTAGCTTTTCCTCTTGGTAATTCAATCATAACTAGTAATTTCCATGTACAAAAAATGGACAAACAAAAACTGCATGGATAGAGCCGGTGTTCTATCATGGGAAATGAAAGATGAAAACTGAAAAAAAACCTAAAGGCAGTTTTATTTGACAATAGAAGTTTGCATATCTCAAACATTAAACTTTGGCAAATATAAGACAGTTCCTTTTTCGTTTGGCCTCTCCTTACAGGTCCCTAAACGTGGCTTCATTGAATATAATAATTTTTATTTTGGAACTAGGTCTGCAAGCATCAAATTTCAACAAAACCAATTTTATTTCAACTTGAACACTTTAACCAATTCTATTAAATACTTATTAGAACAGCTGAATTATTAGGTTATATATTCTATTGATAAAAATGCATGTTTTATAGATGCCCAAGTTATTAGTTACTTTATAGAATCTTAGGGTTTAGCTACTTCATGGACTTAAAGACATTTACTTTGACATTTGTTAACTAGAAGATATCGTAGACAGAAGTTAATCTTCTTAGACATCCAAGTCGATCATTACCTCAAAGATGTGCACTTCAAATATTACTTATAACAACAACAGACAAATTATCACAATTAGATTTTTATTACATGATAAACATAACATATAACATAATTGTAAAACCTGACTGTTACCTGATATAGTGTAAGTGACTAGGACTACAGTGGGTGGTGTAACCAGTCTGACTAGGGGTAGGTGGTGTACTTATACTGACACCTATATATCTGTAACACTCTGGTCATTGGCGTATTACAATATCACTGTTAAACTATGCAGCACCTTTATGTGTCTAATACAGAAAATACTGACCACTGAACACAGTTAAGTACACACAAGTTCTAAGTATAACTAAGTGATAAATTAAAAAGTCACTGTGTTAAGTTCATAATCCTCCAGGGACAGATAGTTGTCCTTTAACAGACTATAACATATATGAGAGAATTTGGTGATAGAGACCCCACCTTATGGTATCAATCAAAATGCCGATAATCCTGAACAATGATTCCAACACTGTGTTAGTGCTAACATTATTTTACTAAAAAACCCACTAATGCCAGTGAATAATACTAAATATACAGATCTGAGAAATGAAAATAAGAATGAAACAAATTGAGGATGAACAATAAAACCATATGAAGTATATAAGACAGAATTAACAGTGTGTAAGAGGGTCCATCATTGTAACAGACTAAACTTAAAACTTTAACGTTGAATGAGTGTATTGATAAACAGAAATAGGAAGCACATCCCTCGTTGGAAATCCAATGTAGGGTGATCATGACAGTATCACAATTTCCGCATATTCTAATGAGTCTTAGAGTTGCCGCCCATTATATTTATGTTTTGTCCATTGTTTAATCTTAAACTGATGAATATTGTATGTTTATTATTGACAGAACAGTGTATTCTCTCAATATTAAAGTATTTCAAAGCAATCCAGGTATTTAAGTTGTTTGTTATCAATGAGTCACATGTGTCCATTTTTCTGTACTTCAGGAAACCGGCTACCTATTTCACTACTGTGAAGTTTTTCAAGAAAGATAACTCTTTCATGCAATTATTATGTGTATATGGTTTTATTATAAATGTCAATTTTTAATCGTTTATAGATAATTTATTTTACACAATTTCAGCATTTATTAAATTGATATACATTAATGCAATACTTATCTATGGTAGTATCATTTTTATTGACATTATTTTGCAAAAAATTGTGTCTTCTATTTATTTGTTTTTAAATTCACTCATTTTTACATAAATTTCCATTTAAAATCCTTATAATTCTGACAACCTATATTTTTTTGTGACAGAAAATTTTCTTTACTTCAAAGCATTATATCTACAAAATTTGAAGAAATTCTACTCATAAATGGTGAAACAAACCTATTACCTAAGAAACATGAAGTAAGTTGTGCTTTGGATATGTTTTTCTCCTCTTCGAAAATTCATATAGAAGATAAAGCAACTTCAAGGGCTTTTTCTTGGTTATAGTTACTCCCATTGGGTTATAGTTACTCCCCTTGGCTATAGTTACTTCCCTTAGGTTATAGTTACTCCCCTTGGATATAGTTACTCCCCTTGGGTTATAGTTACTCCCCTTGGTTTGTAGTTACTCCCCTTGGGTTGTAGTTACTCCCCTTGGGTTGTAGTTACTCCCCTTGGGTTGTAGTTACTCCCCTTGGCTATAGTTACTCCCATTGGGTTATAGTTACTCCCCTTGGTTATAGTTACTCCCCTTGGATTATAGTTACTCCCCTTGGTTATAGTTACTCTCCTTGGGTTATAGTTACTCCCCTTGGCTATTGTTACTCCCCTTGGGTTATAGTTACTCCCCTTGGCAAGGCATTCATCTATAAGTTTTGAAACTATGCATTTACAATTACTGTATGGCAACATTGGTAGAGTGTAGGATCTGCGGTGGACGGGTCCCGAGTTAGAAATCTGAACACATCGCGGTGGACGGTCCCGAGTTCTGAACACATCGGTGATACCGTGGAGTAGCTAGCCATCATCTAGTGGTATCAGACTCTCGCACCTTCTGTATCTCCTCCATAAAGGCATGCACTCGCCAGGGGTCAATTTCGTTCTGCCAATGACCATCTTTTTTGAAATGTGATCCGACAATAAGACCATTGGCTGATGCGTACATATGTAAATTGTCCTTGGTCACTCCTGAACCAATCAAAACAGGGATTTTTACTGCATCAGCTACATCTGTCAAAGATAAACATTTTTCTGTAAAACTACTTAACATGATGATACACCACACAGAACTAGATAAATATTAAAATTATTTTACAGGAGCATAGTTAATAACCTTTGACCTCCTAACTCTAAATAAACTTTTGTGATATTCTTATATATATATATTGATATTTTGGATATTGTTTTGGCCATGATGTCGTTGACAATGTCTGGTGATGTCAGAGGTTATTACAATACTTATCAGTTCATGTTACCTTAATAATTACACAACTGCCCTATACATAATGTATATCACAAAGTGTATGACCTTCTGTTCTTCTCATTATAGCTGGTGAGTAATTTGCCAGGTGAATAGTAACACACCAGGTCAGCAAGATACCAGGTAAATATAAACGATAAATATTACATACCTCGACAGTAAGATACCAGGTAAATATAAACGATAAATTACACACCTCGACAGTAAGATACCAGGTAAATACAAACGATAAATTACACACCTCGTCAGTAAGATACCAGGTAAATATAAACGATAAATTACACACCTCGACAGTAAGATACCAGGTAAATATAAACAATAAATTACACACCTCATCAGTAAGATACCAGGTAAATATAAACGATAAATTACACACCTTAATCAGTAAGATACCAGGTAAATATAAACGATAAATTACACACCTCGACAGTAAGAGACCAGGTAAATATAAACGATAAATTACACATCTCGACAGTTAGATACCAGGCAAATATAAACGATAAATTACACATCTCGACAGTTAGATACCAGGGAAATATAAACGATAAATTACACACCTCGACAGTAAGATACCAGGTAAATACAAACGATAAATTACACACCTCGTCAGTAAGATACCAGGTAAATATAAACGATAAATTACACCCCTCGACAGTAAGATACCAGGTAAATATAAACGATAAATTACACACCTCGACAGTAAGAGACCAGGTAAATATAAACGATAAATTACACATCTCGACAGTTAGATACCAGTTATTTATTGCTAGCAATTTATGCTTACATGATACTTCTCAACTGCATTCCAATTAAGTGTATAACACGCTAATACTACGAGTACTGTTGACTACAGTCAGCAGTAATTGACAGCCTCTCCTCGAGCTCAAATTAACGTGATGTTGCTATCATAACTTAATATACTAATGACAAAAAATCAATAAAGGAAACAAATTGATCACAATTCAAAATGAAAAATGCTGCATGATTATAGTGAAAAATGTAATGTGACAGATGATTGAGATACTATTCATCAGTGTGGGCTACACAAATCATCTAAATCACTCCAGGGGGAAGCTCAGTGCTGGAAGATCAGGGAAAAATCATCTTTGTTCCCAAACAATTTCATCATTAGCTAATCAATGCCAGGTTCTCGTCAGGCATCCAAATTTATAAATGGTAAAAAGTTACACAATTTTTGAGATATAATTACAACAAGTCATTTACTAACCAGGTAATCAAATAAGAAAGTTATGTACCAGTTAAGTTACATGAGTTAGGTACATGGTAAGTTATGTACCCCTCCTCTCCGCCCAAACCAGTCGCTTTATTATCTCCCTTGTCCCAACTATAACATTTCTAACCCTGCCCCCTCTTTGTCCAATCCTGACCACTTTATTACCCCCCATCACATCCCAACTCCCCCTCTCTGTTCAAACCTGACCCCATTCATCTATGTAACAGTGTTTTAAACACATCACATGACAAGGAGACAAAACATCAAGTCTCCCTCACATGATGGAGTCCCACTCACACAATCATGTCTCCTTCACCCCTAGTGAAAAAAACATCGACCAAAAGTAGGGAGGGGGCTTAAGGAATTTCCACCCTTCGTAATGCACATGTTTTTCTTGTCGTATTTTCGTGTCGTCATTTCCGTACTGCGTATCGGGCATTCTATTGCCGTAGTGTAAATTATAGTAACACCGTGTAAACAATAGTACACGTGCGTGACGATGATATGTCAACACCCGATATCGAGACTTACTAATAACTTGGAAATCATGTGTAATCACACATACTTCAGAAATAAAGCTTATGATACAAAGATATTAATTAACTCACAGGAACACACTGACATACGATCAGATACAACAAAAGTCGTAGCGACCAAGAGCTTGTGAACTACTGTTAGCACGTGATACGTACAGGTGAGGTCGGTAAACAAAACACATCAGTCTACATTCCATGTACCTCATATACGACTGATGTGTTTTGTTTACTGATCTCACCTGTACGTATCACGTGCTAACAGTAGTTCACAAGCTCTTGGTCGCTACGACCTTTGTTGTCGAGCAGCGAGTTACGCTCTGTCAGATAAATCGGTTCACAAATGCAATTACAATACTCTGTTAAAATAGTGGTTTGTAAAATATCAAGATCCCTATAAAATGCAAGTGCAAGTGCGTGCACGTAATAATGGCATACCATGCGATAGCCTACGGTTACATATGTACCTGACATGTTAATATACCATGCGTAAGCGGGCTATGGAATGATGTCCAAAGTGTACATGATTGAGAGTAATTTTGTTCTATAAAAGAACAGTAAATTGACAATTAAATATAGTAATTTTATTTATTTCCGTCGTCTTTGGTATAGTAATTAAAATAAGTGTTATTGTATAAATTCTATCCCTCTGCAAAAAGTTCTGATTATTTACAAGGTAGACAACTCTCATCAGGATCGAAATTATTGTAAAATGTAAAATAAATTAATCATAAAGACTTTGTGTGTATTTGGTTCAATTTCTCAATCTTTTTGTATGAAACTATATGTGTCATGTTTGCTCTTAGATTGTATTTAGTAACTTTTATCCATACAATTTCAATAAAAAACGCTTTTTGTAACATTTTGTAGATATTTTATGATAAATAAAATATTGGTAGGGTTGATTAGCATTGTTTCTTTTCATTATTTTATTGTTGTAATAGTTTTGAATAATGCCACTCGCTCAAAAAATGTGAAAGTGTTGAATTTGACAAAAATTCAATTTTTCGGTATTTTTTTACAAAAAAATCCCCAGTTTATTGGAATGCTTAGATTTTCATAAACTCATCTCTACATAGTGACATTACCATTATGTGAAACTTTCATTAAATTCTGCTGGCTAATTGCGAAAGGGTGGAGCCTCCTTAATTGCAAGTAACCCCCCTGTTCACAAATGTCCACCATCTTGGATATATACCACTGTCTTGATCTATGACCACACTAAATATCATGTACTTATACACTGTTCATGTTGTAAAAATAACAACTAACAGACAGAATATTTTAAACTTATTTTCTATCATCAATTGGTCTCAATAATTCAATTTTATCAAACATCATTTTTATAATTTTTTATTGGTAAGTCAATAAGTACTCTTTAAGACACAATACCAACATTCAGAGGTGTAAACAATTTAATAGCACGACGATCAGGCACTCTGGTGTTTGTCTAGCGCCATTTTATGTACCGTACTATAGCTAGTCCAATAGCCGAAGAAATTTGAGTATACAAGGCTGAATTGACACAAAATCATTGTCTTAATCATACAAAAACAACATAACAACTTATCTGTATGCAGGCTGCAAGCATTATGAGTCTTTTGAATTTCATCTTGTGATCTACAGATTTTATTGAATTTGGAAAGTTATTCCAATCTTTGATAGCATTATAGAACAAGAGGCCCAGAGGGCCTGTATCGCTCACCTGAATATGTTTAAAATAATTGGTATGAAGAAGGTGCTGTAAGTACATATGAAATTTCAGAAAGATCCATCCAGTACTTGAGATATAGCGAGAACAAACTTCAAACAGAGCCCTGCACCCCTATGCAACTTAGGGGGGTCATACCCACCAGTTATACAAACTTGAGTCGCCTTGACTCAAGGATGCTCCAGACTAAACAAGGATAAAATCCAATAATCCAGATGGTCGAAGAGGGATTTTAAAGGTTTTACCTCTATTTCTACAATTGGGCCCTGCCCTTCTGCCCCCTGGGAGACCACAACCACTGCTTATACAAAATTGAGTTCCCTTGGCCCATTGATGCTCCAGACTAAATTAGGATAAAATCCCTTAATCTATATGGTAAAAGAAGGATTTTAAAGGTTTTACCTCTATTTCCCCTATTGGGCACCACCTCTCTGCCTCCAGAGGGGTCAGATACACCATTTATACAAAATTGGTTTCCCATCACCAAAGGGTGCTTCAGACCAAATGTGGACCAAATCCTTTTATTCCTACAGAATAAGAAGGATTTTAAAGAATTTGCTATATTTCCCCTATTGGGCCCCGCCCCTCAGCCCCAAGGGGGGCCAGACCCACCGTTTATACAAATTGGTTCCCCTTTACCCAAGGATGCTCCACATCAATTCCTACGGAAGAAGAAGGATTTTAAAGAATGATTAGCTATGTTGCCCCTATTTGGCCCCGCCCCTCAGGCCCCTGGGGGGCCACACCCATGGTTTATACAAAATTTGTTCCCCTTCTTCCAAGAATGCTTCAGACCAAATATGGACCAAATCCTTTCATTCCTACAGAAGAAGAAGGATTTTAAAGAATTTGCTATATTTCCCCTGTTTGCCCCTCCGACCTTCAGCCCCCAGGGGGGCCAGACCCACCATTTATACAAAATTTGTTCCCCTTCCCCCAAGGATGCTTCTGACCCAGTTGGTCAAAATCTGCTCAGTCGTTCATGACTAGTAGCGTTTTAAAGGAAAAGTTGACGGACGGACGCTGCGGTATGGCATAAGCTCACCATGGTCCTTCGGATCAGGTGAGCTAAAAATGATGACGATTCCACACCTTTTATATAAGGAATGTTGAAATTCAGATCACTGTTCCTGGTTTAGTGTTTTTTCTCTGTTCTAGTAAAATATTCTCATATAGGATGGACATTTGTTATATTGAATATTAAAGACATGGTTAAAACGGAGCTGTTTCACCCTGCCCCCAACATCCAACATATTAGCTTGTTCCAATTTCCAGTGGGTGACTCTTGATCTGTCGTTAAGTTTCAGAATAAATCTGACCACTTTATTCTGTGTAATTTGAAGCTTTTGTCAAACCCTTTTTGGATAAGCTTTCGAACCAGCAGCTAGAAGCATAGTCAAAATGACATTGGATCAGTGCTGACACCAGAGTTTTTCTAGATCTAATAGTGAGACAGTCGCTGTGTCTATATAGAAACCACAATCTCTGGTTCACTTTTCAAAACGATGTTTTGTTTTAAGTTAAGCCATCTAGATATCTTGATATTTTGTTATGTTTACATCATATTCAATAATCATGTGTTATAATATTCATCTTTAATTCACTCATGAATACATAATTCTTTATATTTTATTTTTTTACAGAATCACAGTACTCAGTAAAGAGTATATGTCACTACATTCTATTTACTATTGTGCCTATAGTACAGAAACATAGTTATTTGTAGTATTTAAACTTGGATTTATGTTGTTTTGCATCCATTTGGCTAAATTGCTCATGTCAGAGACAAAAATCGACATACATTTGTTTTTGAGATGGTTTCAAAATTAGGGAGGGAACGGTTGTGGATTATATACTGACTGTACAAATTAAAGTAAGGTAAAACCTGAGAACACTTGATTTGAAAGTAGACTTGTTATATAAAAACACAAATAAACCATGTTTCATGCTGGTTAGCTTACAGCCTGTCGAGATGTGTTTTTATGTGTTTTTAAAAGTTATGGAATTGCTTCGTGATTTAATATAACTCTACATAGCTACATATTAGTAATGCATTACAATAGTAAATGCATGTCAATGATAAAAAAAAACCTAAAAGCAGATGGAATCCATTTTGTATTGATATATTTCAATCAGTTTATATTGCTATTGAATGAAGAACCCCAGTATTCCTAAGGATGTTGACAGTAAACCTGCTCCGATATTAATCTGTTAAATAACCAGTGTAATTATCCCTTACCTTTCATCTCCATGACATCAGCTTCCTGTCCAGTGGCCCCCCCTGTGATGATTACACCGTCGCTAAGGAAGAACTCTGCTGCTTTAGATGTGTCCTTGATACTCACATCAGAGGTAATTGCATGTGCACTGAAAAAATACCCATTGTGTTTATCTCAAAGGTAGTCTTAGCAAATACATATCTTATAGGGAGGTGATTGGACAAGCAGCCTTTGATTTATTCTTTCAAATATCCACCATTTTTATTTCAAGTCCTGGGGAAAAGACACAATCTGATTACAAGAATGTCTCATTTGTCTTACAGGCATCTATCAGAAAAACTTTGTCATTTCTCATTAAAACCAGTGTTCATCTTCAGCTTTAATTTCAAAAACAAAAATGTCTGGCTGTTTTTAAGCCCATCTAGTGGAGCTGCTTTGTACGTCACGAAATCCCTCGGGTATCATAGAACACAGACAGTACACACACTGCCACTAAACCAGTTTACAATACCAATCTATTACTGCCATGGTTTCAGTTTTTGCATTTATCAGATGTGGTTTAAAAATCTGTTTCAGTAAGAAAGACATTTTTTTAACCCTGTCCAGGATTGTCCGTTCACAGGAACTGCCATGATGACTAAAGCATAGAATCAAAGCATATTGTAGATTCATAGGGTTTTATAATATACAGTGTACAAAAAAACAAGAAATCTCCAGAGGGATATTAGTGCCCACCATCGTAGGATCTTCGTTAGTTCTATGTCAGTTTGATCTTTTCTCTTCTCTGCTAGATTAATAGTCTTGCCAACAGTTAATGGATCTTGTGGTATCTTTTGATTTAAATTTGACACAACTGGGTTTGAAAGCTGCCATTTCAAAGTAAAAAAGGACTTACTTCTTGAGAAACAACAGTTACATACCAATGGTCAAAATAAAGGATGGCTACCTGACAACCATCTTGTTTTACAGAAAAGGGACAAACACTGGCAACTGTAACCTGTCTATATCAAAATGCTGTTTCAATCAAACTTTTGAAAAACACATTCCATAAAAAGGATAAGGCTTGTGCAACACAACGTCCTTAATCTTAGCAATTTGGTCTTCATGGCCAGAAAGTTTTTAACTTTTGTAGATTGATGCAGCAATTTCACAATTAAAGAAATCAGCTTCCAAGCATTTTAACACTGTATTTCAGGGTTTTGTTGTTGTAATGACAATTTAGTAAGTTCTGTATAATCAATCTCAAGTGTTCAGGTGTGTGACCTGGGCCAGACTAGCTCATTGTTGTATAATTATATCTTTTAATGATATTTTCTTGGCTGCATTACAATTCTATCGTCCCTTTAGATCGCCAAACAATTAATTATTTAGATTTGGTGGGCAAGTATTGCGTGTGAGAATGCTTGTGTAAACTCTTTTCAACAACAGATAATATCTAATCTAGATCCCCGATGGTTTGAAATTCTAACATTTTTATATTGAAATCAATAATCAGTGAAGTAAATGTCAGGAGACTATCGTCACTCTTACAAGTAAACCTCAACACACCATCACTGCTTAATGGTTATCTCAAATGAGCACACAAAACATTCTGAATTGTTTCCTGAAAACTTTTGACATTTTCTTTTCAGCAGATAATTAGTGATGGTGTTCAAGAAAGGTAATCAACAGAAGACAGATGTGATCGCTCCCATCCTAACGCCATCAACGCAGAAAAACTGCCGGTGTTGTCATGCAGTTTGTGTAAAGTTGTAGTAATGCAAAAACAAAGGAAAATATTGAGTGCAGCAAAAAGACCAGATGAAAAATGAATACCGCATTTGTGTTAATAAATACCTCGCTACAAAACCCCTATGATACAATCCTTTAAAAACCACACTACACAAAACCTCAGGTTATCGCCCTGTGACAGGTTTTAATTGCCTACTAGCTTTGTGCTGAGGGAATGTCCCTTATTGCCTACTAGCTTTGTGCGGAGGGAATGTCCCTTATTGCCTAATAGCTTTATGCTGAGGGAATGTCCCTTATTGCCTACTAGCTTTGTGCTGAGGGAATGTCCCTTATTACTTACTAGCTTTGTGCTGAGGGAATGTCCCTTATTACTTACTAGCTTTGTGCTGAGGGAATGTCCCTTATTACTTACTAGCTTTGTGCTGCGGGAATGTCCCTTATTGCTTACTAGCTTTGTGCTGAGGGAATGTCCCTTATTACCTACTAGCTTTGTGCTGAGGGAATGTCCCTTATTACCTATTAACTTTTTGCTGAGGGAATGTCCCTTATTACCTACTAGCTTTGTGCTGAGGGAATGTCCATTATTGCCCTCTAGCTTTGGACTGAGGGAATGTCCCTTATTCCCTATTAACTTTTTGCTGAGGGAATGTCCCTTATTTCCTACTAGCTTTGTGCTGATGGAATGTCCCTTATTGCCTGCTAGCTTTGTGCTGAGGGAAAGTCCCTTATTGCCTACTAGCATTGTGCTGAGGGAATGGCCCTTATTGCCTACTAGCTTTGTGCTAAGGTAATGTCCCTTATTTCCTACTAGTTTTGTGCTGAGGGAATGTACCTTATTGCCCTCTAGCTTTGTCCTGAGGGAATGTCCCTTATTTCTTTCTAGCTTTGTGCGGCGGGAATGTCCCTTATTGCCCACTAGCTTTGTGCTGAGGGAATGTCCCTTATTGCCTACTAGTTTTGTGCTGAGGGAATGTCCCTTATTGCCCTCTAGCTTTGTACTGAGGGAATGTCCCTTATTGCCTACTAGCTTTGTGCTGAGGGAATGTCCCTTATTACTTACTAGCTTTGTGCTGAGGGAATGTCCCTGATTGCCTACTAGCTTTGTGCTGAGGGACTGTCCCTTATTGCCTACTAGCTTTGTGCTGAGGGAATGTCCCTTATTGCCTACTAACTTTGTGCTGAAGGAATGTCCCTTATTACCTACTACCTTTGTGCTGAGGGAATGTCCCTTATTGCCTACTAGCTTTGTGCTAAGGTAATGTCCCTTATTGCCTACTAGCTTTGTACTGAGGGAATGTCCCTTATTGCCTACTAGCTTTGTACTGAGGGAATAACCCTTTAGCTCAATCAGTAGAGCATTGAACTGCAAAGGATTGACTATGGACAATATATTAAGGAATCAAATGTCTCTTTCAGAGTTATCATTAGATCAAATGTGGTAAGAAAAAATTGATGTGTTAAATAATACACTCATGACCAATGAGGGATTAGTTGTGTTCATATAATTGGCCAATCAGTGATCAGAAGTGCACACCAAAAATTACTCTGATACACACATCAATTCCAACACCAGTCATCTGTCACAAGATGGGAGCCATTAGCCTCCCTGTGCATCATCAGACCAACATCCCCCGTCTTTATCCCCATAGCAACCATCGCTGGAGCAGGAAGCCATGGAAATGATGTAATCACTAGAGTAATTATTCAAGAAAATCCCTCAAAGTTCTTTAGCGTGACTTCAGTGCTCTATCAACAGAGCATCGGCTGCTGATGACAACACAATCCTCTTACGGGATCAAAGGACTCCATCCAGAGAAAAGATGTCCAGGAGATTTTACAATCTGTAGGTTTCAGGAGAACAGCTTTAAAGATGAATTAATAGAACAATAAAACCTAATTTATAAATCAATACAATATCATTTCAAAGGAAATGAACATGGTGTTGAACTGTTTTATGGACATGCTGACGAGAGTCAGTTCAATAACTAGTGATTAGTTGTCAAGAATAGAGTTGTTATTTTGACAGGAAACTTTAACAAGTGTAACAGGGATTATTCCAGTACGCTGATGACCCGCTAATGCCCTTGATAAACTCCATTATAAACAGCACAACACAGCAACTCATTGTCCCCCGCCGTGTGCTGTAATGGAAAGCGTCCCAGGAAAAGGGGAATTATTTAACGTCTTTATTTTACCTATAACCAGGGATTATATCATTTAATGCCAAGCTCTGTTCTTGATTGGGAATAAATCTTAGCGTACGCCCATGTCTGCACGACAATAGTCTCTCCAGCATACAAAGTCTAATGATTATGTGTGTTATAGAGACAGATATGCTCCAGACAAGTTCTTAAAACAATGTAAGTCAAAGGTTAAAATGTAGGTCGAAGTGACCTGTTTCAGGTGCATGATGGGAGTGAATTTGGTTTGGTTCATGATACTCTGCCAAGCCAAGCTTTATCTACATACCAAGTAGATCCTACACCATAGAGTTTATAATAGAGTTATAGAGTCTAGACAAACAATTGTGTGCTTATATTGAATATTTCAGATGAAATTAGAAAACATTTTTTGACATGAATCCCTCCTTGGCCCTATAAATAGCAAGACAGACCTTGACGCTGACCTTGGGTCCCTGAAACATTAACTCCTTTGAGGTTTTCTCATACGTGACCTTTATTTGTTTCGAACTGGAGTCGGTAGAGTCATGACAATGAATAGTGATACTATCAGGGTGGTCGGGTGGTAGGGTGGTCGGTGGTCGGTTGGTCGGTCGGGTGGTTCGGTGGTCGGGTGGTCGGGTGATCGGGTGATCGGGTGGTCGGGTGGTCGGGTGGTCGGTCGGGTGGTGGTCGGATGGTCGGGTGGTCGGGTGGTCGGCGGGTGGTCGGTCGGGTAGTCGGGTGGTGTAGTAGATAGCACACTCACCTTTCACGAAATGGCAATGCACCAGAGTTTGACTTTCCAATCTGATCTGAAAAGGTATGGGGTTATCACCCTGACCATGTGGGTTTGCTTCAGGTACTCCAGTTTCCTCCCACAATAAGACATCAGAACCAACAAGAGTGATTAATATAAGTTGATAGAACTTGTTTTGCAATTGTTGTAAGATAAAAATAGTCTTCTTTTTAACATTTTTCTACTAGTACTGGAACAAAAGAAGAAATTAAAAACGATTTTAGCCTTTTGGTCCCCAACTCTCTGCATCCCAGCTGGAGGCCACATCCTTTATTGATACATCATTGAATTCCCTTGTCCCAGGAACACACCATACCTAAGTGTATTTAAATTCTGTAACTCCAAACAAAATGGGGTAGTCTTTTTTTTTAGTTTTTTTTTAAGATTAACCTCCAACCCATTTCCTTTTCTGGGCTGTCCCTATTTGTAGGGGAGATCTCAATACCAAACTGAGTCACA